AATGGAAGAAAAGTGAATCTTAGACGGTTCAACAAAATGGCAGTGTTTGTATTCTTCTTTACAAACTCAAACATTCACTATATAAACTGAGAAATGTTTGAAGATTTTGCTTTCCTTTGAATGACTTCATGAATATTTGGTTGTAGTCGCACTGTTTCTGAGAACTGCTGTACATCTGTGTTGCATGGAGTCACCCAACTTCTGGCCCCTGTGATCAGGTATTCCAGCCCAGGATGATTGGACTACATTCCACAGTTCTTCTCTATTTCTTGGTTTTGCCTCAGAAACGGCATTTTTGATGTCACCCCACAAGTTTTCTATTGGATGAAGATCCGGGGATTGGGCTGGCCACTCCATAACGTCCATCTTGTTGGTCTGGAACCAAGATGTTGGACGTTTACTGGTGTGTTTGGGGTCGTTGTCTTGTTGGAACCCCCATTTCAAGGGCATTTCCTCTTCAGCATAAAGCAGCATGACCTCTTCAAGTATTCTGATGGATTCAAACTGATCCATGATCCCTGGTATGCGATAAATAGGCCCAACACCGTAGTATGAGAAACATCCCCATATCATGATGATTGCACCACCATGCTTCACGGTCTTCACAGTGTACTGTGGCTTGAATTCAGTGTTTGGGGGTCATCTGACAAACTGTCTCCGCCCACTAGACCCAAAAAGAACAATCTTACTTTCATCAGTCCACAAAATGTTGCGCCATTTCTCTTTAGGCCGGTCAATGTGCTCTTTGGCAGATTGTAACCTCTTCAACACATGTCTTTTTTTTCCACCAGTGGGACTTTGCGGGGACTTCTTGCAGATAGCTTGGCTTCACATCGGCGTCTTCTAATTGTAACAGTCCTCACAGGGAACATCACACCTTCTTTCATCTTCCTGGAGCTGATTGTTGGCTGAGTCCGCGCCATTTTGGCTATTCTTCTATCCATTCCAATGGTAGTTTTTCGCTTTCTTCCACGTCTTTCAGGTTTTGGTTGCCATTTTAAAGCATTTGCCATCATTTTAGCTGAGCAGCCGATCATTTTCTGCACTTCTTTATATGTTTTCCCCTCTCCAATCAACTTTTTTAATCAAGGTACGCTGTTCTTCTGAACAATGTCTGGAACGACCCATTTTCCTCAGAATTTCAGAGAGAAATGCACTGTAACCAGCATGTCCAACATTTGCTGCCTTCCTTCCTTAAATAAGGGCAATAATTGCCACCTGTTTATCAAAGAATGAATGACCTCACTAATAGAACTCCACACGGCTATTATATTGAACATGCCCCTTTCAATGAGTGATTCAATGACACAGAATCAGCAGCATGCATGTCATGACTGTTGGGTGTGTTGGATTTCTATGACTCTACTACACCTGCTAGGAAATTATTTGCCATGTAGAAATATCATTTCCACCAAAAACAGTGATTGATCCAGTTAGTGATGTCTGACTGCTAATATTTTGAACACAACTGTATATACTTTAGTTTGTAGACGCTATTCACGTAAACCAATCAATATACATTTATCGAGATTTTTTTTATTTATTTTTTTTATCAAAGACATGTAGCAGAATACATTTTGGACAAAATTTATGAAGAGATTTGATTTTTTTTTCTTAATTTTATTGGATATGTTTTATAGTGAAAATTAAAAATATTTTTTTTTACAAAATGTTAATTTATTTTTTCATTTATAAAAAAAAAATAGAAAAAAACAGTGGTGATGATATACCACCAAAAGAAAGCTCTATTTGCATGAAAAAATTTATATAAATTTTGCTTGGGTACAGCACTGCATAACCGCGCAATTACCAGGTAAAGTAGTGTACTGCGGTATAGGGGAAAAAATGGCCTGGGCATGAAGGGGTGTAAAACCTTCCGGAGCTCACATTGCTATAATAAAAATAAATAAATAAATAAATAAAAAAACAAATTCCTTCCCTTTGAGAAAAAGGTAAGGATAGCAGCGTGAGGTCAGATTTGGTGCAATCAGGGATTTAATTGGTGTATGCTGTGGTTGTGTCCCCAGACAAGTGAAGAATGGACAGAAGGTGAAGAAATATCATCCAGGAACAAGAAGGAGAGAAAACTGACCAACCAGTTCAATTTCAGCGAGAGAGCGTCCCAGAGCATTAACAACCCCCTGCGGGTGAGTCCCGGGAATGGCGGCGGATTCATATGACCATGTTGATACGATGTTCATCTCACACATCTCACTGTATTCATGTTCTAGGAGCGAGCGTCTCAGACAGAGCCGCCTCCAAGGGCCACCTTCTCCTCCACTGCAAACCAGGTACCTTCATTCTCTGTGCCATTATTATTATAAAGTAGGTGAAGTGTTTTATAGCACAGCTGCACGCAGAAGCTCCCCTTTTTATTTTTTTAGAAAAAAAGGTCCTGTGAAAAAACACATGCATCCTGTTATCACTGTAGTGAATGTAGACAGGGACAGGCTGTAAAGAGACTGCAGCAGTATTAAAATGTATCAAAAGGTAAAAACCTCTCGAGGGATAGGACCGCTGGAGCAAAGGTAAGTGGTCAGGAGCACGTATCGCACAGAGTGCAGTGGTCAGGAGTGCATATCGCACAGAGTGCAGTGGTCAAGAGTGCATATCGCACAGAGTGCAGTGGTCAGGAGTGCATAGCGCGCAGAGAGCAGTGGTCAGGAGTGCATATCGCACAGAGTGCAGTGGTCAAGAGTGCATAGCGCACAGAGAGCAGTGATCAGGAGTGCATAGCGCACAGAGAGCAGTGGTCAGGAGTGCATAGCGCACAGAGTGCAGTGGTCAAGAGTGCATAGCGCACAGAGAGCAGTGATCAGGAGTGCATAGCGCACAGAGAGCAGTGGTCAGGAGTGCATAGCGCACAGAGTGCAGTGGTCAAGAGTGCATATCGCACAGAGTGCAGTGATCAGGAGTGCATATCGCACAGAGTGCAGTGATCAGGAGTGCATATCGCACAGAGTGCAGTGGTCAGGAGTGCATAGCGCACAGAGTGCAGTGGTCAAGAGTGCATATCGCACAGAGTGCAGTGGTCAGGAGTGCATAGCGCGCAGAGAGCAGTGGTCAGGAGTGCATATCGCACAGAGTGCAGTGGTCAAGAGTGCATATCGCACAGAGTGCAGTGATCAGGAGTGCATATCGCACAGAGTGCAGTGATCAGGAGTGCATAGCGCACAGAGAGCAGTGGTCAGGAGTGCATATCGCACAGAGTGCAGTGGTCAAGAGTGCATATCGCACAGAGTGCAGTGATCAGGAGTGCATAGCGCACAAAGAGCAGTGGTCAGGAGTGCATATCGCACAGAGTGCAGTGGTCAGGAGTGCATATCGCACAGAGTGCAGTGGTCAGGAGTGCATATCGCACAGAGTGCAGTGGTCAGGAGTGCATATCGCACAGAGTGCAGTGGTCAGGAGTGCATATCGCACAGAGTGCAGTGGTCAGGAGTGCATATCGCACAGAGTGCAGTGGTCAGGAGTGCATATCGCACAGAGTGCAGTGGTCAGGAGTGCATATCGCACAGAGTGCAGTGGTCAGGAGTGCATATCGCACAGAGTGCAGTGGTCAGGAGTGCATATCGCACAGAGTGCAGTGGTCAGGAGTGCATATCGCACAGAGTGCAGTGGTCAGGAGTGCATATCGCACAGAGTGCAGTGGTCAGGAGTGCATAGCGCACAGAAAGCAGTGGTCAGGAGTGCATAGCGCACAGAGTGCAGTGGTCAGGAGTGCATAGCGCACAGAGTGCAGTGGTCAGGAGTGCATAGCGCACAGAGTGCAGTGGTCAGGAGTGCATAGCGCACAGAGTGCAGTGGTCAGGAGTGCATATCGCACAGAGTGCAGTGGTCAGGAGTGCATATCGCACAGAGTGCAGTGGTCAGGAGTGCATATCGCACTCTCTGCTGCAGAGAGACTCATACAGGGGATCGGTTCCAGGCCCCCCACCCCCACAGTGTTGCTGAGTTTCCTCGTTTTCTTCCCACCGGCAGCTGCAAGCACACAATAGGATCCTGCAGGATGGTGAGTGTGGGAAAGGTCCAGTAAATATGTCACATTTACCAGCCCCTTTCTTTGCCGAAATGAACACAATGAGTGAACAGTACGATTCACTCACTGTGTTCATTCATACCCCAAGCATAGTAAACTGTGGTTATTTTTTTTTTTAAACAACACTCCCTGAACTGGATGAGAGACGGAACTCTCAGTTGCAGCAGGAGAAGAGATCTGCCTGTCATATCCAGCATTAATGAAACTGTCATTTCCACAGGAACCAGCAGAACTTTGGACCTAGCATAGTCTTCATGAAGTCAATGATTTCACTGGTCGCCCTTCCTATTCTTCTAGCGTTTCACTTTGAACCCGAACTCTTAGATATAGAAGACACATGTGAATGTAACGTGATATTGAAGGTTCCGTTTTTTTTTTTTTTTTAAACTACTAGCATACCGGACACTCTCACCCCCTTCCTGTCCAGGCCAATTTTCAGCTTGCAGCACTGTCACACTTTGAATGACAATTGCGCGGTCATGCAACAATGTACCCATGTAATTTTTTTTTAATTTTTTTGAGACAGATAAAGCTTTATTTTGGTGGTATTTATACACCGCTGGGATTTTTTTTTTTCTGCTATGTAAATGAAAAAGTCCAAAAATTTAGAAAAAAAGTGTTTTTCTTATAAAATTTTGCAAATAATTTTTCATCATAAATCTTGGCCAAAATTTGTTCCGTTATCTTTTTAGTAAAAAAAAAAAAAATAACCCAAATTAATTTATAACCACAAATTATAATTTTTTAACTTTTTTTTACATTTTTATTTTTTATATTATTATTTATGGGTTTTTTTACATACCGTCACCCTAGCAGTACAGTGTCACCATGGTGACACTGTACTACTTGTAGGGGGTGATGAAGATTTTTTTTTTTACACTGATTGCTTTTACATCCATAAAGGCTGTAAAAGCAATAATTTCTCCTTCTCCCTGGCTGCATTCTTGCAGCCATTGAGAACTACTGTGTGAGCTGTGATTGGTCACAGCTTGTCACATGGTACAAGGCTGTTGTGAATAGCTCTGTACCATGTGATCTCTGTGATCATTCACAGATTTCACACGTAGTAAGCAATTATGTCAGAAGTGACATCTTACTTACTACTCTGCATGTGATCACTAATTGGCCAATCAGTGATCACATGGGTGGGACCTCACACAGAGGTCCCGTACAGCGATCTGTGTACCATTGTGTCCGGAGGGCAGGGAGCGTGCACAGGCAATGGGTGCGGGGTGACGTTTAGAAACGTCCACCCGCATCAACATCGCTCCCGTCTGGCCGTTTATCGACATGGGCCGGACCGGAAGGCAATGGGTGCGGGGTGACCAGGGGCGGACTGACAACTCATGGGGCCCCTGTGTCCTTGCCCAAACTCTAAAAAGCCTATGAAAAAGGTATCAGGTGTATCTCATGGGGCCCCCTACTGACCCCGGGCCCTCGGGCAGTTTCCAAATGGTCAGTCCGCCCCTGGGGGTGACGTTTAGAAATGTCCACCCCCATCAGCAGCGCTCCCGCCTGGCTGTTTATCTACAAGGGCTGGATGGGAAGAGGTTAATGAAGGATTCAGATGATCACTGATTGGCCAATCAGTGATCACATGGTTGGGACCTCACACAGAGGTCCCATACAGCGATTGGTGTTCCACTGTGTCCGGAGGACAGGGAGCGCGCACAGGCAATGGGTGTGGGGTGACGTTTAGAAACGTCCACCCGCATCGGCAGCGCTCCCGTCTGGCCGTTTATCTACAAGGGACGGGCCGGAAGAGGTTAATAAAGAATTCAGAAGCCAGTCTTACCAATACCAGACTTTTAGATCCGGCTCCGCAAGGTGTCGCGTGCTCCCAGGGAGCGCGCACAGTCCAAAATGGCGGGCGCCGTTTATGAACGGCAACCCGCTCCTGCACTGCTCCCGTCCGGCCGTTTATATACATGGATGGGCCGGACGGGAAGTGGTTAATAAAAAATTAAAAACCCAGTGGTGATCAAATACCACCAAAAAAGCTATATTTTTGTGAAAAAAAATATAAATGTCATTTGTGTACAGTGTTGCATGACCATGCAATTACCAGTAGTGCAGTGCTAAATAGCAAAGAGCTCAAGTGGTTGAAAAAATTAGCATTTACCATGACTTGGGAAGCAAATGTTGAAGTTCTGTCCAATGACATTTGTCAAGTCTCTGTCGGCATTCTGCTGAAAATCTGCCTGTGTATGGCCAGCCGAGGGCACCGTTCCTCTCCGCAGATTTGGGATGAGATTTGGTGGTCTGCACTGCGCTCCCCGCTGGAGGATCTGACATGAGGCTGAACAGAACAATAAAGAATTCCAAAACCTGAAAAAAGTTTCCAGATTGGCGTTCCCTGATCACTGATTATCATAGATCTGGGGCGGACTGACAACTCATGGGGCCCCCGGGCAATAGGGGGTCATGGGGCCCCTGTGTCCTTGCCCAAACTCAAAAAAGCCTATGAAAGGTACCAGGGGCATCTCATGGGGCCCCCTACTGACCCCGGGCCCTCGGGCAGTGCTCGAATGGTCAGTCCGGCCCTGTCATAGATCACAAACCTTCGTACTCCTGGTCAGGGATTGGTTGGATGAAGGGCGGCACGACGGGAAATCATGTGACTTTCTCTATTGTAGTGGGAAATCTATGACGCCTATGTAGAGGAATTACAGAAACAGGAGAAGATGAAAGAGAAGCAAAAGGCACCGGCGGGCAAGAAAGAGGAGGAAACCAATTCCAGGAGGAAGCTGCCCACTGCCGAATCTCAGGTAGGTATCATGCTGTGTCCATCGTTTCCACCATTACTGTGCTGACTTCCTGCTCTGCACACCGTCTGTGCCCATTATGAGGGGTTCCCACCATCCCTGTGCTGACTTCCTGCTCTGCACACCGTCTGTGCCCATTATGAGGGGTTCCCACCATCCCCGTGCTGAGTTCCTGGGTCTGTACACCAGCTGTGCCCATTATGAGGGGTTCCCACCATCCCTGTGCTGAGTTCTTGCTCTGTACACCCGCTGTGCCCATTATGAGGGGTTCCCACCATCCCTGTGCTTAGTTCCCGGCTCTGCACACCGTCTGTGCCCATTATGAGGGGCTCACACCAACCCTGTGCTGAGTTCCCGGGTCTGTACACCCGCTGTGCCCATTATGAGGGGTTCCCACCATCCCTGTGCTGACTTCCTGCTCTGCACACCGTCTGTGCCCATTATGAGGGGTTCCCACCATCCCTGTGCTGACTTCCTGCTCTGCACACCGTCTGTGCCCATTATGAGGGGTTCCCACCATCCCCGTGCTGAGTTCCTGGGTCTGTACACCAGCTGTGCCCATTATGAGGGGTTCCCACCATCCCTGTGCTGAGTTCTTGCTCTGTACACCCGCTGTGCCCATTATGAGGGGTTCCCACCATCCCTGTGCTTAGTTCCCGGCTCTGCACACCGTCTGTGCCCATTATGAGGGGCTCACACCAACCCTGTGCTGAGTTCCCGGGTCTGTACACCCCGCTGTGCCCATTATGAGGGGTTCCCACCATCCCTGTGCTGAGTTCCTGCTCTGCACACCCACTGTGCCCATTATGAGGGGTTCCCACCATCCCTGTGCTGAGTTCCTAGGTCTGCACACCCGCTGTGCCCGTTATGAGGGGTTCACACCATCCCTGTGCTGAGTTCCCGGGTCTGTACACCCGCTGTGCCCGTTATGAGGGGTTCACACCATCCCTGTGCTGAGTTCCCGGGTCTGTACACCCGTTGTGCCCATTATGAGGGTTCCCTCCATCCCTGTTCTGAGTTCCCGGGTCTGTACACCCGCTGTGTCCATTATGAGGGGTTCCCACCATCCCTGTGCTGAGTTCCCGGGTCTGTACACCCGCTGTGCCCATTATGAGGGGTTCCCACCATCCCTGTGCTGAGTCCCCGGGTCTGTACACTGTCTGTGTTTATTTTGAGGGGTTTCCTCCATCCCTATGCTGAGTTCCCCGGTCTGTACACCCTCTGTGCCCATTATGAGGGGTTCCCACCATCCCTGTGCTGGGTTCCCGGGTCTGTACACCCTCTGTGCCCATTATGAGGGGTTCTCACCATCCCTGTGCTGAGTTCCCAGGTCTGTACACCTGCTGTGCCCATTATGAGGGGTTCACACCATCCCTGTGCTGAGTTCCCAGGTCTGTACACCCGCTGTGCCCATTATGAGGGGTTCACACCATCCCTGTGCTGAGTTCCCGGGTCTGTACACCCTCTGTGCCCATTATGAGGGGTTCTCACCATCCCTGTGCTGAGTTCCCAGGTCTGTACACCTGCTGTGCCTAATTTACCTAAAATAGACCTGTCAGCAGAACATACAGTCCTGTTTCACAATGTCATGGAGGTGCACACAGTTGTGGGATATCAGGGGTGAAGTGCTGAGTTCCTCTCGGTATTTGTTTACTGAGCACACCCAGAGTGGGTACAGAGGAGGAAAGGCCCTAAATTGCCTATGTGTAGTATATAGTGCTGACAGGTTCTCTTTAGTGTTCTCTTTCCATCTGTTCATTGCGAGGTCTTCTGCCTTTATACAGTTTGAGTTTAGAATATGTAGGATGATTCTGATCATTTTTCATTTTTTGGCGCAGAGCGATGACATCAGCAAAGTTGCGAAGTCTAGTAAGATCATGGAAAGGATGGTGAACCAGAACACATTCGATGACATCACTCAAGGTATTGTTCACATACATAGAGAGGAGGCTTCAGGGACTATAGAGATCTGCTTGGATATCCTCTGACCAGGAGGGTACATGCAGGTCACCATATGAGGAGGACATCTCAGGGACTGTAGAGATCTCCTCAGGTATCCTATGGCCGGGAGCGTACATGCAGGTCACCATATGAGGAGGACATCTCAGGGACTGTAGAGATCTCCTCAGGTATCCTATGGCCGGGAGGGTACATGCAGGTCACCATATGAGGAGGACATCTCAGAGACTGTAGAGATCTCCTCAGGTATCCTATGGCCAAGAGGGTACATGCAGGTCACCATATGAGGAGGACATCTCAGGGATTGTAGAGATCTCCTCAGGTATCCTATGGCCAGGAGGGTACATGCAGGTCACCATATGAGGAGGACATCTCAGAGACTGTAGAGATCTCCTCAGGTATCCTATGGCCGGGAGGGTACATGCAGGTCACCATATGAGGAGGACATCTCAGAGACTGTAGAGATCTCCTCAGGTATCCTATGGCCGGGAGGGTACATGCAGGTCACCATATGAGGAGGACATCTCAGAGACTGTAGAGATCTCCTCATGTATCCTATGGCCGGGAGGGTACATGCAGGTCACCATATGAGGAGGACATCTCAGAGACTGTAGAGATCTCCTCAGGTATCCTATGGCCAAGAGGGTACATGCAGGTCACCATATGAGGAGGACATCTCAGGGATTGTAGAGATCTCTTCAGGTATCCTATGGCCAGGAGGGTACATGCAGGTCACCATATGAGGAGGACATCTCAGGGACTGTAGAGATCTCCTCAGGTATCCTATGGCCGGGAGGGTACATGCAGGTCACCATATGAGGAGGACATCTCAGGGACTGTAGAGATCTCCTCAGGTATCCTATGGCCAAGAGGGTACATGCAGGTCACCATATGAGGAGGACATCTCAGGGATTGTAGAGATCTCTTCAGGTATCCTATGGCCAGGAGGGTACATGCAGGTCACCATATGAGGAGGACATCTCAGGGATTGTAGAGATCTCCTCAGGTATCCTATGGCCAGGAGGGTACATGCAGGTCACCATATGAGGAGGACATCTCAGGGTATGTAGAGATCTCCTCAGGTATCTTATGGCCAGGATGGTACATGCAGGTCACCATATGAGGAGGACATCTCAGGGACTGTAGAGATCTCCTCAGGTATCCTATGGCCAGGAGGGTACATGCAGGTCACCATATGAGGAGGACATCTCAGGGACTGTAGAGATCTCCTCAGGTATCCTATGGCCAGGAGAGTACATGCAGGTCACCATATGATGATGAGGAGGCCTCTGAAATGATAGAGATATATGCTTGGGTATCCTGTAGCCAGGATGTTAGATGCAGGTCACCATATGATGAGGAGGAAACCTCAGGAACTTTAGAAACCTTCTTGGGTATCCCATGGCTAGGATGGTACATACAGGTCACCATATAAGGAGGGGGCCTCAGAGACTATGGAGATCTTCTCAGGTATTCCATAGTCAGGATGGTAGTTACAGGTCACTATGTGATGAAGTGTGAGGGACTATAAATTTATGCTTGGGTATCCTATGTCCTGAATAGTAGATGCAGGTCACCATATAAGGAGGAGGAAACTCAGGAACTTTAGGGATCTTGGGTATCCCATGGCCAGGAAGGTAGATGCGGGTTACCATAAAAGTGGGAGGCCTCAGGGACTATGGAGATATGCTTGTTATTCCAATGGGCAGGGCGCTAAATGCAGCTCACCATGTGATGTGGAGGCCCCAGGAACTATAGAGATCTTTTTGGATATCCCATGGCCAGGGTGGTACATGCAGAACACCATAGTAGGAGGATCCCTCAGTAACTATAGAGATCTTCTTGGATACCCCATGGTCAGGATGGTAGATGCAGGTCACCATAGTAGGAGGAGGCATCAGTAACTATAGAGATCTTCTTGGATACCCCATGGTCAGGATGGTAGATGCAGGTCACCATAGTAGGAGGATCCCTCAGTAACTATAGAGATCTTCTGGGATACCCCATGGTCAGGATGGTAGATGCAGGTCACCATAGTAGGAGGAGGCCTCAGTAACTATAGAGATCTTCTTGGATACCCCATGGTCAGGATGGTAGATGCAGGTAACCATAGAAGGAGGAGGCATCAGTAACTATAGAGATCTTCTGGGATACCCCATGGTCAGGATGGTAGATGCAGGTCACCATAGTAGGAGGATCCCTCAGTAACTATAGAGATCTTCTGAGATACCCCATGGTCAGGATGGTAGATGCAGGTCATCATAGTGATCCCTCAGTAACTATAGAGATCTTCTTGGATACCCCATGGTCAGGATGGTAGATGCAGGTCACCATAGTGATCCCTCAGTAACTATAGAGATCTTCTTGGATACCCCATGGTCAGGATGGTAGATGCAGGTCACCATAGTGATCCCTCAGTAACTATAGAGATCTTCTTGGATACCCCATGGTCAGGATGGTAGATGCAGGTCACCATAGTGATCCCTCAGTAACTATAAGAGATCTTCTGAGATACCCCATGGTCAGCATGGTAGATGCAGGTCACCATAGTAGGAGGATCCCTCAGTAACTATAGAGATCTTCTGAGATACCCCATGGTCAGGATGGTAGATGCAGGTCACCATAGTGATCCCTCAGTAACTATAGAGATCTTCTTGGATACCCCATGGTCAGGATGGAGATGCAGGTCACCATAGTGATCCCTCAGTAACTATAGAGATCTTCTGGGATACCCCATGGTCAGGATGGTAGATGTAGGTCACCATAGTAGGAGGATCCCTCAGTAACTATAGAGATCTTCTTGGATACCCCATGGTCAGGATGGTAGATGCAGGTCACCATAGTGATCCCTCAGTAACTATCGAGATCTTCTTGGATACCCCATGGTCAGGATGGTAGATGCAGGTCACCATAGTAGGAGGAGACCTCAGAGACTATAGAGTTCTGCTTGGGTATCCCACAGCCGGATTAGTGATTGCAAGTCACCATATGAGGAACCCTCTGCATATGATCATCTTATGGGGACAATTAAGCTGAAAGTACAGATGTCCTGCAGGTTTAGCTTCTTCCCAATCCTGCAATTTCTGACAATTTCTTTTGATGAATGCAATTCATATCATATTTTTGAAAAACACACCCAAAACCAAAGAGCCTGTTTAGACCTAAACTGGAACGCGTCCATCCAATGTTCTATTATTTGTAACTACCAAGTGGACTTCATACACACGGACCTCACACTCCATAACAGCAGTGTGAACAGCCAAGGCATTTGTGAAGCTTTCAGAGTAGTTTTCTTGGTGCCAGGGCTCCCAATATGATCAATGTTTACGGTGCTTCAAAGACATGATGGACTTGTTTACACCTGCAGTGCCCTCCGAAGAGTGATCCACAGTACATCATTATCCAGAGGGTGTTGACAAGTGGTGGGAAGGCAACATAATGCCTGTTTTGACTCCTTAAACCCTGCACTACCACACTGCAATTGTGCACGCTGTAGATGGTTGTGGGGTGGTTGCAGCGTGGCCCTCGTTCAGACCGATGGGTTGCATTCCGTGGGCAGTACTGCATGCCGGACATGGCAGAGGTTAGTTTTTGTCATGCACATGGTGTAACGGAACCGGACCCCGACTGCACTGGGGTATTTCCGTTAGACTCCCGCTTCCCTGTCCGAACACAGATCCACGGACACAGATCCACGGACACAGATCCACGCACACCACTCGAAGTAAAACCAGGAAATAAGACTGCTTTTACCACAGACACGAGATATATACATCCAAGGGAACAACCCCCCCTCACTGCATATGGACACAGGGCGGGGCAAACCAAATCTAGCAACAAGAGACACATCAGCAGACACCCCCCACCAAGCCAATACACAAACACATACATCCCATAATAGTTTGCTCCCAAGCAAGACACACAATAGAACAATGGGATGCACCACATGGCAGTAAACAATGAACAACCCCCCACCCCAATATTAGGACAGATCACCCTGTACCCCTAACAGGCACAGGGTGACTTACACATAATAGGGATATGGGGAGCTGAGACAGGGGTCTCCCCACCTCTCCAAAGGGGGCTGTGTTCCATGGGCCCCCCATCCAAAGACACTCCCGTCACACATGGCATGTATACGCCCCTGTGTGCCCCTGAATCAAGGTATAAAAATGCTCCAGTACCTGTATTGCTGCCCTCCTACCCCTCCTTATACTTTCCTCACTCGATCCAGCGTTGTACCCATTTGTAGAGGCTTTGCCTGCCCTCACAGGCTTCTGGTTCCTGCTGCTGTCAGTCAGATCCTGTGATGAGGGGGCGGGGCCTGGCCGTGCTGTGTGTGTCTATGGATGCAGGCAGTGCAGCTCAGGATCGAGCCAGCAGGTGTGCCACCATAGAAAGAGGCATCCTACGGTGTCACACAGTGACTTAATGGTTAGCACTTCTGCCTGGCAGGACTAGGGTTGCTGGTTCAAATCCCAACTACGGCACCACTTGCCTGGAGTTTGCATGTGCTGCTTGTGGGTTTCCTCCGGGTACTCTGGCTTCCTCCCACACTCCAAAGACATGCTGGTAGGTGAATCGGCTCCTGTCTACATTGGTCCTAGTATGTATATGTATGAATGTGAGTTGGGGACCTTAGATAGTACGCCCCTTGAGGGTTACCCTAGGTTCACATCTGTGTGGGTGGTGCCGCTGTGGACCCGCACAGAGAAATGCAGACCTGCGGGTGGGTGCCATTACTTCTAATGTGCCATTAGAAGTAACTGCCCACGGGTCCGTATTTCTCTGTGCGGGTGGTGCGGATCCGCAGCGGCACCACCCGCACAGATGTGAACCTAGGGTAACACTCGAGGGCCGCCCACACTAGAAAACGCAACCACACTGGGAACCTCGGCTGCCTTTTCCAAAGAAGTGCCGGGACTTCTCTGCGTGTCACAGGGCACAGGAGTCCATTCAAATGAACGGGTTCTCGTGCCCGTGCAAAACACGGCCCGCATGGCCACATAGATGTGATCCGGGGGTCAGGGACTGATGGGAATGTACAATATATATGTAAAGCGCTGCGTAAATTGATGGCGCTATATAAGTACCTGAAATAAATAAAATAATAAATGGCGGCACGCCGAGAAGAGGTGGAGCCAGGAGCACCGGCAGGGGACCCCAAAAGAGGAGGATCAGGGACACTCTGTGCAATTCTGTTTTGCACAGAGCAGGTAAGTAAAACATGCTTGTTATTTAAAAAAATAAAACTCAATCGCATGTTTTTACCATCCCCCAACTGAAAGTGTAAACCAGCGGGGATGCTGGGATTTGTAGTTTGTGGGGTTGTGCAGAAGCTGCTGAAGTGACATCGCTCTATTAACATCGTCTCTTGTATCTTCAGACTTCAAGTACTTTGAGGATGTCGCTGACGAGTTCCGGGAACAAGAAGGAACGCTTCTGCCACTATGGAAGTTTCAGTACGATAAAGCCAAACGCCTGGCTGTGACTGCCCTCTGCTGGTGAGTACAGGAAGTGGAAGTAATGTGCCCAAGGCTGGCACTGTCTAAAAATATTCTTCCTGTGAATTGTCCATGAAAATGAAATGATCAGATCCACTGTGACGATGGGAGCCTAGAGTAATCCTGTCATTAAAGGGGGTGTATGGTGGTGTGTGTGTTTGTTTGTTTTTTTCACATAGCTGACCTTTCTTTTCTCAGGAATATTATTTATTGCATTCAGTAAATGTAAAATTTTGCACATTAATATTTTTTTATAATTACACTCACTGGCCACTTTATTTTCCTCTTTGCACTTTTACTCACAAGTTGTGTTCCTTGCTGTAGTCACCTCTGTGATGGCGTGTCTAAGCTGGCAGCCATGCCCTGTGAATTATTATTATATAGGAGTCACACTCACCGGCCACTTTATTAGGTACACCTTGGTAGTGCCAAGAAAGTCTCCCCCACACCATGACACCACCACCACCAGCCTGAGCCATGGATACAAGGCAGGATGGATCCCCCACACCGTGACACCACCACCACCAGCCTGAGCCATGGATACAAGGCAGGATGGATCCCCCACACCATGACACCACCACCACCAGCCTGAGCCATGGATACAAGGCAGGATGGATCCCCCGCACCATGACACCACCACCACCAGCCTGAGCCATGGATACAAGGCAGGATGGATCCCCCGCACCATGACACCACCACCACCAGCCTGAGCCATGGATACAAGGCAGGATGGATCCACCACACCATGACACCACCAGCCTGAGCCATGGATACAAGGCAGGATGGATCCCCCACACCATACCACCACCACCACCAGCCTGAGCCATGGATACAAGGCAGGATGGATCCCCCGCACCATGACACCACCACCACCACCCAGCCTGAGCCATGGATACAAGGCAGGATGGATCCACCACACCATGACACCACCACCACTAGCCTGAACCATGGATACAAGGCAGGATGGATTCTCCACACCATGACACCACCACCACCAGCCTGAACCATGGGTACAAGGCAGGATGGATCCCCCACACCATGACACCACCACCAGCTTGAACCATTGATACAAGGCAGGATGGATCCACCACACCATGACACCACCGCAAGCCTGAACCATTGATACAAGGCAGGATAGATCCATGCTTTCATGTTGATTCCGACAAATTTCGACCCTACCATCTGAATGTCGCAACAACCAATTTTGGTGAGCCTGTGTGAATTGCAGCCTCTGTTTCCTGTTCTTAGCTGACAGGAGTGGCACCTGGTGTGGTCTTTTGCTGCTGTAGCCCATCTGCTTCAAGGTTGGACATGTTGTGCTTTCAGAGATGGTATCCTGCATACCTTGGTTGTAACGAGTGATTATTTGAGTTACTGTTGCCTTTCTATCATCTGAAACCAGTCTGCCCATTCTCCTCTGACCTCTGACATCAAGACATTTTCCGCCACACAACTGCCACTCACTGGATATTTTTTCTTTTTCGGACCATTCTCTGTAAACTCTAGAGATGGTTGTGTGTGAGAATCCCAGGAGATTAGCAGTTTTTGGAATACTCAGACCAGCCCATCTGGCACCAACAACCATGCCACGTTCAAAGTCACTTAAATCCCCTTTCTTCCCCATTCTGATGCTCTGTTTGAACTTCAGCAAGTCGTCATCACCACGTCTAGATGCCTAAATGCATTGAGGTTCCGCTATGTGATTGGCTGATTAGCAATTTCTGTTACAAAGGAATTGAACAGGGGACCTAATAAAGAGGTTGGCGAGTGTAGAAAGTGCCAACAGTTTATGCAGTGCTTTCCAATCTAAACCAGAGATCTCCAAACTACGGCCCTCCAGGTGTTGAGGAACTGCAAGTCCCACGAGGCCGTGCAAGACTCCCAGAGGCAGAGGCATGATGGGACTTGTAGTACTTCAACAGCTGGAGGGCCATAGTTTGGAGACCCCTAATCTGAAGGGACAGAGTTAGGAGGGCCCTGCTCATAAGAGTTTATAATCTAGTAGGGTGGGGCAAGTGGTACAAAAGGTTATAACTGAGGGGGGGGTGAGAGCGGATGGAAGAGTTTAAAGTTCAGTTAGTTGGAGGCATAATAAGCTTCCCTAAAGAGATGGGTTTTCAGGGATCGTCTAAAGGCAGACAGAGTAGTTGATAGCTGGACAGACTGAGGTAGAGAGTTCCAGAGGATAGGAGAGGCTCTGGAGAAGTCCTGGAGATGAGCATGGGAGGAGGAGACAAGGGAAGAACTCTGTCTGGTCTTACAGATGGATAAGGTGGTGTTTAGGCCTAGAGCTTCCTTCCTAAAGTGGTTTCAGCTTTTCACCTCAACCAGGATATTGTTCTTCCATCTCTCTGTCCAGCTGTGGTGCTCTGGAAGGACATTTCTCTCTTCACTACCTCAGTCAGGCAGGGGCAGACTGACAACTCATGGGGCCCCCGAGCAATAGGGGATCATGGGGCCCCTGTGTCCTTGCCCAAACTCAAAAAAGCCTATGAAAAAGGTACCAGGCAGGGCTGGACTGACAACTCATGGGGCCCCTGGGCAATAGGGGATCATGGGGCCCCTGTGTCCTTGCCCAAACTCAAAAAAGCCTATGAAAAAGGTACCAGGGGCATCTCATGGGGCCCCCTACTGACCCCGGGCCCTCGGTCAGTGCCCGAGTTTCCAAATGGTCAGTCCGCTCCTGGTCAGGGGTGTATTTAGGTTTTGTGTTGCCCTAGGCAACACAAAAATCCACCTACCCCAGCAGAGAGAGCCAGAGAACCTGACACCGACCAACACCCCGCCCTCCAACAATACCCCTGCCCCTCCCATCTCCCCCCCATCCCAGCCTTCCACTACCATCTCCCCCCATACACTAGCCAACCCCTCCGGTAGGAGAGAGAAAGACGTCACCTTCACAGTTCTGGTCATCCCCGGGAATCAGAGTCAGGCTCTGCATACACTGTCAAACAGCCTACAGTTTCTCTTGGATCCCACTTGGTCCCCATACTGTGTGTTGTCCCTTCTTCCATCCTTTCTTCCAGGGGGGGTCGGCGCTGCCCCCCCTGAAAAATGCCGCCCTAGGCAAATGCCTTGACTGCCTTGTGGTAAATACATCGCTGAGCTCAGTGTAGTTTGTGCTGTGCGGTTTTGTCTCTCAGCCACTGCCATCATGGTGACACTGTACTACTTGTGGGGGGTGATGAAGATTTTTTTTTTTTTTTTACACTGATTGCTTTTACACCCATAAAGGCTGTAAAAGCAATAATTTCTCCTCTCTGGCTGCATTCTTGCAGCCATTGAGAAATACTGTGTGAGCTGTGATTGGTCACAGCTCGTCACATGGTACAAGGCTGTTGTGAATGGCCCTGTACCATGTGATCTCTGTGATCATTCACAGATTTCACATGTAGTAAGCAATGATGTCAGGAAGTGACATCTTGCTTACTACTTTGCATGTGATCACTGATTGGCTAATCAGTGATCACATGATCGGGACCTCACACAACGGGACCTCCGGAGGACACAGTGGGCACCGATCATGTTGCCACGCGCTCCCAGGGAGCATGCACAGGAAGTAAATGCAGGAAGACTTTGGAAACGTCTTTGGCAGCGCTCCCGTCCGTCCGTTTATCTACATGGGCCGGACGACACGTATTTGTGTGAATTAAAAAAAAAATGTCATATGGGTACAGTGTTGCATGACCGAGCAATTGTTATTCAAAGTGCGACTGCACTGAAAGCTGACAATTGGCCTGGACAGGAAGGGGGTAGAAGTGCCCGGTAGGCAATAAGCCACTACAGTCCGGCTTCCGTCCCCTACACTCCACCGAAACCGCCCTCCTCAACATCACCAATGACCTACTAACCACCAAAGCCAAAGGCGACTATTCTGTCCTCCTCCTCCTGGACCTCTCCGCGGCCTTCGACACAGTTGACCACCCCCTCCTCCTTAATAAACTACTCTCCCTTGGCATCAGAGACACCGCTCTCTCCTGGTTCTCCTCGTACCTATCCCGACGCTCCTTCAGTGTCACCTACAATGGTGCCACCTCCCCCTGTCTGTTGGGGTCCCTCAAGGCTCTGTCCTTGGACCCCTTCTCTTCTCCATCTACACCTCCTCCCTTGGCCAACTCATACACTCCCACGGCTTCAACTACCATCTCTATGCTGATGACACTCAAATTTACCTCTCCACCCCTCACCTCACCTCCACTTTCTCCGCCCGCATCACTCACCTAAACGACATCTCTGACTGGATGTCGCTCCATTTCCTCAAACTCAACCTCTCCAAAACCGAGCTTCTCGTCTTCCCTCCTGCCCGCGCCCCCCCCCCCCCCATCCTATCCATCACTACTAACATCACCACCATCAATCCCGCCCCGCAAGCCAAAGTTCTTGGAGTCATTCTGGACTCTAACCTCTCCTTCCAACCTCATGTCAAATCACTTACAAACACATGCAGGCTCCACCTCCGCAATATCATCAAAATACGCTCCTTCCTCACCCCAGACACCACTAAACTACTCGTACACTCCCTGATTATCTCACGCCTTGACTACTGCAACTCCCTCCTCACCGGCCTACCCCAGTGCACGCTCTCCCCGCTTCAGACCATCCTCAACTCAGCGGCTAGACTCATCCACCTCACCACCCGCTCCACCTCTGCCACCCCCCTCTGCCTCTCCCTCCACTGGCTCCCTATCGCCCAACGCATCAAATTCAAACTACTCACTCTGACCTACAAAGCCATTCACAACACTGCCCCTGACTACCTCACCAACCTGATTCCCAAGTACCACCCTACCCGTACCCTTCGCTCTTCACAGGACCTCCTTCTATCTTGCTCCCTGGTCTCCTCCTCACACGCACATCTGCAAGACTTCTCCAGGTCCTCCCCCATCCTCTGGAACTCACTACCCCAACCCATCAGACTGTCACCTTCCCTCCTCACCTTCAGACGCTCCCTGAAAACCCACCTCTTCAGGGAAGCCTACCCCACCCTCACCTAACTGCTG